TCAGATTGCTGATGCTAGCACTTCCAACACGATGTTAAACAACAGCGGTGAGAGTGGACATCCCTGTCGTGTTCCTTATCTCAGGGTCTTAAACCACATTTAAATAAACAAAGAAATAAACAAAATCCTTTATGTAGCCTCCTCTTTGTCCTCCACCTCAGAGTGTTTCTTATCTCTTGCTTTTAAAAATAGTTTTACCACACATTTGTATCCTTAACATGTATTGCTTAGCACTGCGTGATTTTGAATGGAATCGTACTACATGCATTCTACAGTTTTTTTCTTCACCCATTTTCCTGACTCATGCCTGTTGTCCTCAGCTAGATTCATTTTGACTGTTGGACAGTATTCAGTTCTACTTTTGGACATCTGGGTGCTTTTGCTTTTTGCTGTTACAAATAGTACTGCTGGGAACGTTTCTGTACATGTCTTCTAGGGTTTCTTTTTTTTTTTTAACAGTTTTTTTTAAAGTTCATTTATTTTGAGAGAGAGAGGGGGGAGAGAATGAGTGGGGGGAGGGGCAGAGACAGAGGGGGACAGGGGATCTGAAGCAGGCTCTATGCTGACAGCACAGAGCCCGATGCAGGGCCCAAAGTCATTAATTATGAGATCGTGACCTGAGCAGCAAGTTGGACACTTAACTAACTGAGCCACCCATGTGCCCCTCTTCTGGGGTTCTTTAGTGTTTGTATCCCAGAGTCCTAGAGTATCAACCTTTTACATTCCCACTAAACACATAAGTGTTTCTTATCATCTACAACATTTTATATTGCCGGAAACCTTAATTTTTCCAATAGGATGAGTATGAAATGCTACCTCACTGTGACTTTGTGTTTCCTTCTTTTCAAATATATATTAACTTTCAGGGTTTCATTTTCTGTAAAGTCAAAATTTTTTGCCTCTTTTTCTACTGATCTTTTCTTCCTCCTAGGTGGGTATTTTTTTAACAGCACACATTTTTTTTTTCAGTTAAATACCCTAAAATATCTTCTTAAAAGACAGAAAATTATCATTTTATTCTCTAAAGGTATTTTGATAAAGGCATTCTTAATCTTATAATCTAATCATGTTTTGCTCTCTACAATATCCTTCCCCAAAGATAATCTCCTTCATTATCTTCTTAAAGTTTTATTGGTTGTCTTTTTAATGGACCTTTAATCCACCTTAATTTTTTTT